ACGTCAGGACTCGAAAATAGGTAATTTGACAAAATTTTGGTACGACCGAGGCGGTCGTAGGTCGAGTAGGTCGTAAGTCGAGGAGTAGCTGTATTTAACTAGTGATAACAGAAAAAGTTATTTCTTTAATGTTTTGTCTGTGAGTCGGTTCTCGTCTTCAACGTTTAGGTCACGAAGGAGGCTTAAATATATCTAGAAAAAAAAGTTTAAGCTCCTGCGTAAATATCACAATAGATTTGCACTGTCCTCTGTTTGGTCACAGCAGATTATGTGAAATTCGAGCGAGAGAGATTTAAATAATAAATCCCGCAAAATTGTGCGTTTCTCCCGGAAGCACGAAAAGAATCCGTCAATAACGTCGCAGTTTCGTTCTGTGTCGGTCACGTCCACGAAATGTAGACGCTATTGGACTGTACGAAACCGGGTATGCCGATTAAATTTTTGCTCGTCCATCGCAAGAAGTTAGGTAGTTTAGATTAGATTAGGTTAGGTAGGGTTTTCAATGTTTTTTTTTAACCCTTCATGTTGAAAGTAACTTTTTTTGGAAGATTCATTGTTTTTGTTAGTGTAAGGAAATTAAGATCATATAAATTTATTAGAAAAAATCCAAATAAATACTGGTAAAATTATCATTTTGGCCGTGCATCTATTTTCCAAAAGTCATAATCGTTCAAAATATCCATAAAAACCGTTGGAAAAAGATAATTTCAACTTTACGTAACCTATTTGAGTAATCGGTTTCTCCATGTGGTGTTAAACTATTGAGTAATGTTTATTTTTAATACAAAGTTGTTATTTGACCCGGATTCTGGGCCAAATGACCGTCGGCTATTTGACCGGGACCTGCGGGGATCGTGTGGGATTGTAGTCGGGATGGTTGGGGGCATTAAACAAGTCATTCCATGATGGTATTATTTAATTGTATAATTTCTGTTGACAAAAGGATTTAGTTTTATTTTAGATCTTTGTCAAATAACCGGCGGTTATTGTGCCGAGTACTGGTCAAATAATCCCTGCCTATAATATAATAGTTTTACAGTGTTGTGTATTATATAGGTATCTGTTACATTTCCAGGAAGCTTTAAGGACCAACAACACATCTCGGTACGACAAGTGGAGACTCGACCGTACAGACCCGTCCGGTCTCGCACACGACGCCGTTAACGGCAAACGGAGAAACGCCGCCGCCGCCGACCCGCGGGAGGTAAGACCGACGTCGTCACTTCGCGTCGGGCGTACGAGCCGAGCGTATTAGAGGACTTGTATTTAAGTGCACTTGTACAGTAATCCTATAAAAGTGGACATTTATGTAAATGATTGTGTCTAAAGTCACTTCCCATTGGTGTCGGTGGTACGGGACCTCTCAAAATTGTGGCCCAGATTCACGTTTTTCATCCCAAACCAAATTTTGAATGTGTGTTTATTTCGTTATTCTTTAAAGTACAGTGCAGTATATTAATAACTTTTAGCTTCGTTTTCAAAACATAATGTCATTGTTTATTAATTATGATTCTTTACAAATGCTGTACTACTTTTTCTGCCTGTATGTTTCAATTCAGTTTATGAAACTTTTATTTGCATAGTTTTGAAGAAGACTACAGTACTTAGTACATAGTTTAAATGTTTGCATATCAACAGTGCAGTACTTTATCTTAAGTAATATTTTCAGGTACTTTCTCCATCACTGCCTAAAGTGGACCTGATGTGAACTAGAATGAAGTTGGCTGGACCTGCAGTGAAGTGGACCTGAAGCTAACTGGACCTCAAGTAGTCTGTGGTATTGTATTTAATATTGTTGTGGTACTTTGAATGTTAGGAAAGTTGTACAGGCATTCCCCAGTTTGAAAGAGTACTGTGTCTTATAAAAACCTATGGTAAATCGAATCAATATTCCTATAGACTCACATTATAAAAGCCAAGATACTTTTCTTCAATGAAAAAGGTTCCCCCCCCAATTATGTAGTCTCCAAAAAGTATTGATAGATTTTCTAGCGGTAAAATTTGAAACGCTGGGTGAAAGACTTTGATGTGATCTCCAGTGCATCAGCATAAATTGGTACAGGTACATCCGGTCACTATATGAGCAACAGCCATAGACGCGGGTAGCGAGAGAGGGAGTCATCCTCGCGTGACATACAACCGTACAGTAAATGCTTTACTATAACAAGAAATCCATTAAGCTATATTAATGTATGTATCGTGCTGGGTAGAAGCAAGGCATATGTAAAGAAGCCCCTGACTGAGGATTACAATAACATGGAAATATACTTTAAATGGAAGAGTTTCGGATCACAACCGAGACGGACCTCGAGGCGAACATTTCACCGTGTCGTAGTGACGGTTTCATTCGTACCGAGCTGCAGAACATAGTCGTCGACGACACGTATGATTTATGAGAGGTGACCAAGGAAATAGTAGTTGATATTAGAGTGAACAGCTACAGCAATATACAGTATATCGGTCTAATTGGGATCTGCCAAATATTATTGATTCGTAAATAGTGTCGGTTTAACGTCACAATAAGAATTTAAATCGGCGCGTCGCCGGTCTTTTCGTGGCGGCTGATCCATCGCGATACCGCGGGTTCGCTCGCCCCGTTGCGTCTTTCCGATAATTCCTCGGTTCGTTTGACGTGAGATCCCATTAATGACCGGCACGGCGTCGGCGTCCATTTACGACACGCAATCTCAATTCGCTTGACGTGCGCTCGGAAGCCTCGGAGGATTCGCATCTCTCAAAAACATACGTATGCTCATTCGTGCTCAGAGGTGTAGACGTAGAGTTAGCAACAGTTCTGAAACGGGTCGTGTAACATTGGTCGAATAGCCTCGAAGCACGTCGACCCCGTGGCTAAAGATATTATTTTGGGGTGACCGTACTCGTCGATTATAAGCCAATACCGTATAGGAGCTCTTCGACCGACAGACGAGTCGAGCTCCCGAGGCTCGTTCGCGAGTCCGACTTAACTCTTGTAGATAATGATATACAGTAGAGCTATACCGTATATAGCCAGCATAATTACGGTACAGTCGGTCCCCGACTTACGACGGGGTCAGGGACCGGCGACCGGGTCGCAAGTCGAAAATGGGAAAATAATACTGTACATAGATGGGCGTCTCATTTTCTTCTCGGCACCACGAAACTCTCAATCTTACGCTTGCCGGCCATTTTAAAGGGAATTACAAATGAAAATGTTGTCGGTACACAGCGCAATCACTAATGTCTGCATTCAAAAATACATAATTTGACAACATTAAGACCAATCCACACATGTGAAGGGACCCATACAAATTGAACATTATGGCCATTTTTCCGTATTGTATTTACTAATTTTCTACATGAACCAATAATGTGTCCAAAGACTGGACTCCCACTGTTCAAAGAATCCAAAGCTGCCCTACTATCAACAACAAAATATGCATCTTTATACCTCTTTACAACATTTTCCAATCCTACTAACATTGCATATAACTCAGCTTGTGTTGATGAAATAAAACTTCTCAACCAAAGTCCAATTTTGATGTCATCATTTCCTTGTTCTGTGTGCTGTCTTATAAGGATCCCGCACCCTGCCCTGCCACTTGACATAACTGAACCGTCACAAAAAACATGCAATGTGTTTATTTTAGGCAAATTACTAATCTTATTCCCATATAAAGCCCTTATAACTGTCCTGGTTCATGTAATGATTTCTTCATTGTGAGAGGCACTATGTCTAACTCTACTTCTCGTTCTTCCCAGGGTGGATTCTTACAACTCTTCTGAACAGCTGTACACCAGTCTGCCAGATTACATTTTTTAATAATATTTATTAATCCATTCATGTATCCTCTCTTGCCTTGCCTGCAGAAGGTCCTTTTATCTTTTAAACCATCATTTATATCTTGTACAAATTTACCCCCACTGTTCCCTCTCATTAATCGAACTGCTGCAACTGTATTAATTTCATTGACCCTCTGTGAAATGCTCTGTAACCCTAGTTCCATTTTCATTATCTCAATCATTGCATTCTTTTGACACCCTAAAATAATTCTCATTGCTTCATTTTGCATGATCTCAAGTTTCCGTAGCCTTCCTTCACCAATACAAGAGAGGACAGGTGCTGCATAGTCTATAAGTGATCTGATGGTAGAAATACACATCATTCTCAGTATGGGTACCCCAGCACCTTTACCACAACATGCTAGAGCCTTCAAGGGCTGTAATCTTGCTCTACATTGAGTGAGGACATGATATATTTCTGCCTCTTTACTTTCACTAGTAAAGCCAATATACATTCCTAAATATTTATACTTTGACACTTTCTCAACAATTTTTCCATTTAGAAAAACGGATTCAGTTCCTCTTCCTTTACATTCACACTTGGTTTTTTCTTCATTCATAACTAAGCCCATCTTTTGAGAAAGAACACTAAAATCATTTAATGCAATCTGCAAATTTTTTACAGAGTTTCCTTGAAATAAGATGTCATCTGCATAAATGATGGTTACAACTCCTTTGGGATATTTGTGTGAGGCTATCTTGTTCATTAACACATTAAATAACATTGGACTCAATACTCCCCCTTGGGGAGTGCCTAGTTCAAGTGCTCTTTCCTCAGACAAACATCCCTGATACCATACACAGATTCTCCTTCCATGCAAGTAGTCACCTATCCAGTGTAACAACTTTCCTGATACCCCTAGAGCAGCCAGTTCACTCATAACTACTTCACTGTGAGCTTTATCAAATGCTCCTTGTAAATCCACAAAAACTCTACATCTGTCTGCATCATTTGATAAACATTTATAACACAGTCTGAAGTACATTTCCCTTCCAAAAAACCAAATAAATTACAAGATAGATTTTCCCCCACAATATATACAAGCCTATTTAATAATACTCTCTCCATCATCTTGGAAAAACAAGATGTTAAAGACACTGGCCTGTATCCACCAGTTGCCTTAGGGAAAGGAATAACTATCGCTTTCTTCCATTCTGTTGGTAATCTACCCTCTGCATAGCTCATGTTGAATAAATCTAATAATGGACTATTTTCCATACCAACTAAGCAGTTCAAAATTTCATATGTCACACCATCTTCGCCTGGTGCTGTAGATTTTCCTTTTTTAACAGCATCTTGAGTAATATCTACACATGTTACATCACAAATATTTAGAGCTGATGAAATAAATCTTTTTCTTTCATTTTGCCACTCATCTAATGCTTCTATTGTCCTGTTAGGCAGGGAGGCAACACTAGCAGCTTTAGCCCATTTGTCAACCAGTTTATTAGCTTCTTCCTCTGGATGAGGATGGCTAATAAAATTACTCCTTTTTCCTCTAATTTTGTTAATATCCTGCCATATTTCTTTGAGATTTTTACTCTCCCCAATGTGCTGTGCAAAATCTTGCCAATATTTCTCCCTTGCCTCCTTCCTAGCCTGCCCACATATTTTGGCTATATCCATGAAGATTTCCCTATCTTCTTCTCTTCTACCATTCTTTTCCCAATCTTTATGTGCTGCCCTTAACATTTGTGTCCATCCCTTCAACATTTTGTCATTGGTATAGCAGTGTTTCCTAGCCCCATGTCTCTTATCATTTATTTTTTTCTGTGTTGACTTAGTCAAATATATTTCTATCTCCCCAACTAAGTCATTATAAAAGCTATCCATACAGACTGGTGTATAATTTCTGTACCATTTCTCTATATTTTGGGTAAACACTTCTGTGTCATCCTTGTTTAGTTTCAATTTCTTCCTCCTATATCTCACCTTTCTCTTCCCTAATGGTAATTGAACATACACAACAAAATGGTCACTGACTAGCTCCCTTATTATCTCACATTCTCCCTGGACTCCCTGACTGCTTATCATGCAAGCATAGTCTAACCTTCCTCCTTTAATATGAGTCACTTCCTTATTTCCTAACAAGTAAGAATCTGGGTGATCTTGTAAAAATTGCCAAAATTTTATACCATTTCTATTAATTCTCCCCATTGTTTCGAGTCTTGGATGTCGAGCATTAAAATCTCTTACAGCCAAAGTTGAGTCCAAAAACATGCAATCTGGTAAGAAGTTGAGGTCAAAACAGCATCCAGAAATATACAAATTTGCTATGTTCAGTTCTCCTTCCTTCAAATATAACTTTATACAGACACTTTCTATTCCTTGTACTCTACTCGGGTTTCCAACTAGTTCTGCTGGTATGGAATTCTTAATGTATGTTGAGACCCCTCTTATACCTTTACTAGATAGTTTAAGCAGGTCGCCTTTCCTGTCCCTGTAACGGGCCGCGTTTTCTCTTTTCAATAATTTACCATCCAGCTACTGTTTTCTGTTAGTATTCTATTTACTCATATACTTATTTGTTCTATGTAGCATTCCTCCAATGATTACCCTGTTTAATATACTTATTCTCCTTCCATTCTTTACATATATATTTATTCTTATATGTTCTTTACCTCTATATACCTTATATTCTTATATGTTCTTATATAAGTAACTCTTATGCTTCTCCACTTATGTTTTCCAAGTCAAGGTTCTTTCTTTTCATTTCCTTTCATATAGATTGTATTTTCAGTTTCAATGTTCTTACCTTTCTGAAGTATACTTTGTTTTATGTCTTTCTTATACATGGGTTAGTCTGGGGAACCATGTGATTCTTTGTATAACACTTTTTATACTTACAAGGGGTAGCTGCCACCACCCAGACTTTTCATTATATAACAGAACTCATGGAAGGGTTTTGGGCAGTGTGGTAGATGTATAGGCACGTGAGTAAGTATTATTTTCTGGGAACCAATGTTTAGAAGGAGTAGAGTGGTGATACTCAGATTACTAACTCAATATTTATTAATACAGTGAGTGGAGAAGATGCATCTTAGATTCACTCAGGCTAAACAGAACCGAAATTAACTTATTAAGTCATCAAACACTTCAAGAACTTATTACCTCATTAAACACCTCCAAATATTCATTACTTTATTGGATACTGTTGTAGTATTTCTGTGACAAGTAAGATTTAGCAATGCTTACACACTGTCAATAACCCTGGACCCACAGGTCTTACTTTAACAAGGAACAAATTACCTTCTCAATTCGTGGTTAGAACCTCATACTCTCAGGTTATTCTTTCATGGGTACTACAGATGAATACATAACACATTGGACTAACTCCACAATTATAGTAACATACAATACCTCCTGTTAGTTTGCAAGGAACAACCTGGTACCTTGAACTCTCATTCAGTGGTTCAATACTTAACCTGGGATGACTATATTTCTGCTAGTCATCCCTAAGCATGGATATTAATACGGCTCCATACATATAACCAAGAACAGTGGGTAGACCATGATCATATGACGGAGTCAGTAGGCCAGAGTTGTTTACAGGCTCGCTCGCTAGCTCGGAGCGCCTGGCCCAGGAAAAGTTGACTGTGGCGGTGGGCCGTGGCGTCTGCCAAGGAATCTCGCCCTGGGATTCTAATCTCGCCACCTTAAAGACGTCTTAAGGCTAGCTAGATCCAGGATTAATATTTACACATTTTATATCCTTTCCAATCAGATTCTTTAAGAAGGCCCAATCCTCCTGCACAGATTCCCATTTCCTCAAAAGTTTTTCTTTATCAGCATCTTTACACTTTACCAACACCTTTTTAAAACTTTCAGTTGTTGCTCCCTGCGCTACACAATCCTTTATTTTCCTCTCCTTCCCTGTAATACTTATTTTAAGCACTGAATTTTTCAAAGGCTTGAGCTCTTCACTTTCCTCTTTCCCTTTTAATTCTACATTATTCACAGCTTTGTTTTCCCTTTCTTTATTTATCACTGTATCAAGTCTTTTTTCTATCACTTCTATTTTCTGACCTAACTTTTGCAAAAGCTGAAACATCTTAAGCACCTCTTCTCCCAGAATTTCTTGCACAGTTTTATCACCAACCTGGAGGGCTGCACCACTACTCTCACTTGCTACTTGTTTATTACTCTGTTTGTTCCTGGCATCAACAACGCTTCCTGCCGCAAGCGCAGTCCTTATCCTTCTTGAATCTTCATGCCAGGCATTCTCAGGAATCACTGTCTGTGTGTTCTCCTGCTGTCTTGTCACTGTCAGACCACAGCGTACTTCCTCGGTGTTCTCTGAATAATTCCTTTGTTGGTCACTTCTCATACGTGGCCTCATCTCGCATGCAATTGAACTAGCATTGAGAGTTTTACCACACTTACAACAACAAGGCTTCACTTTCTCTCCTGCTTTGATCTTGTCCTTACAGTTGCTAGATTCGTGCCTCTTCCCACAGAATCTACAACGTGGGTCCAGTTGACAGCTCCAGGCCTTATGTCCCCATCTGCAACACTTGAGACACATTATTGGTCCCCCCACATATAGTGCCACCTTCCTATACCCTGCTCCTGTGATGAACACTTTCTCTGGAACCTTTCCTCTCATTAGAGCAATAACCTGGCTTCTCTCTTCGCCCCTTATTAAATGCCTCTTGACCCAAACAAATCTTTCGTCATCCAATAAGTATTCTGGGTCTAGTATTACAGGGTACCTGAAGATTATAACCTTTGTAAGTAGTATGTCGCTCTCCTCTGGCAAAACCATCAGTAATCCCTTGTACCCAACAGTTGTCAACATTTCCACAGCCTGTAAGATAAGGCTTGTGTGTGCCTTCTTTCAAAAGAGGCTCAAAGCTGCGATGCTCCCGTCCTAATTGTACTGCCCATTTTAATTTTTCAAGGAAGGTCATCGGGCATGACTGGAAAAATTAATCTCTTCCTGACACGACCAACTTCACCTTGTGTGTGTTCTTGTCTGCTTCCTTCAAATTCCATACTTTGCTCTGTTCTTGATCCATTCTCCACTATCTCCTTTCTGTTATTTCCATTATTATTACCACCCACACACGTTTTTTGTCCTAGATGATTTTGTCTCTTCTCCTCTCTCACTTCTTTGCTTTCACTGTCCTCATGCCAGCTTGTCTCCCTCATTGTTTTAGAATTTTCTTTCTTATTCACTACCTCTTGTTGTAGCTGTATTTTCTCACTTTCTAACTTCCCTTGTGCTTCATCACTCGTATTAGACTCATCACTACTCAACTCAAGGTCTTCAAGAACTTCGTCCAATACTATCTTTTCTTTACTCTTCCATGTAGAGTTCTTAAGCGAAAATTCACTTTCCGTGGGGCAATGTTGACATCCCACAACACCCAGCCAGGAGTGATGGGACCCCGAGCAGTTATTTTTGTAAGGTAAACAGTAAGTTCCCAACACTAAAGTTGCTTGACGATACTTATCTTATCCTCGGGTCCTTATACACAAGTAGGTAAGTCTATATATCCTTCAGTTAATGTAATAAGCTCGAAAACATCCCAAATTTGGGAGCTAGCGCTCACAGCTGTGTTTACCGGACCAAAAAAATGGCCGCTCCGTCGTATGTCGAGTAGGTCGTAAGTCGAGGAGTAGCTGTATTTAACTAATGATAACAGAAAAAGTTATTTCTTTAATGTTTTGTTTTTGTGTTTTAATGTTTTGTCTGTGAGTCGGTTCTCGTCTTCAACGTTTAGGTCACGAAGGAGGCTTAAATATATCTAGAAAAAAAGTTTTTGCTCCTGTGTAAATATCATAATAAATTTGCACTGTCCTCTGATTGGTCACAGCAGAGAGATTTAAATAATAAATCCTGCAAAATTGTGCCTCTCTCCCGGCAGCACGATAAGAATCCGTCGAGATCGTCGCAGTTTCGTTCTACGTCGGTCGCGTCCACGAAATGTAAACACTATTGGACGCGTACGAAACCGGGTATGCCGATTCGGTTTTTGTTGGTCCATCGCAAGAAGTTAGGTAGTTTAGATTAGGTTAGGTAGGGTTTTCAATGTTGTTTTTTTAACCCTTCATGTTGAAAGTCTAACTCACTTTGGAAGATTCATTGTTTTTGTTAGTGTAAGGAAATTAAGATCATATTTATTTATTAGAAAAAATCCAAGTAAAAACTGGTAAAACTATCGTTTTGGCCGTGCAGCTATTTTCCGAAGGTCATAAAAGTTGAAAATACATCAAAAACCATTGGAACAAGATTATTTCAACCTAACCTAACCTATTTGAGTAATCAGTTTCTCCACGTGGTACTAAACAAACAAGTGCCTTTATTATAAGTGTACGAAGATGTTATTTGACCACGATTCTGGGCCAAATAACCGTCGGCCATTTGACCGGGACCTGCGGGGATCGTATAGGATTGTAGTCGGGATGGTTGGGGGCATTAAACAAGTCATTACATTATGGTATTATTTAATTGTATAATTTCTGTTGACAAAAGGATTTAGTTTTATTTTAGATCTCTGTCAAATAAGCGGCGGTTATTGTGCCGAGTACCGGTCAAATAATCCCTGCCTATAATATAATAGTTTTACAGTGTTGTGTATTATATACCTATTGGTCACATTTCCAGGAAGCTTCAAGGACCAACAACACATCTCGGTACGACAAGTCGAGACTCGACCGTACAGACCCGTCCGGTCTCGCACACGACGCCGTTAACGGCAAACGGAGAAACGCCGCTGGGAGGTAATACCGACGTCGTCACTTCACGTCGTGTCATTGGGCGTACGAGCCGAGTGTATTAGAGTACAGGTTGTACCTCTCTAGTCCGGCATTCTGTGATCCGGAACGATTTTAGTTTGTCCAATAGGTAGATAGGCAGCTTCTTTTTTTTTTTTAATCATGATTATTATTATTATTATTATTATTATTATTACAGGAGTATTAAATTTTTGCCCCTCAGGCCCCAATGTGGGTCAGTGACCTATGCCCGGGTGGGCTAATCCCCGTAAAAAAACAACAACGACAAAGCCGGGGGAAATTAAGGTTTGTTTACATCCGGCAGCTCTCTCTCTGTGCTTGTCTATACAGAGCATAACATTTAACCCTTCAATATATATTCTAGCAGTAAATAAGTGTTGCTTTCATATTCTTAAGTAGAGTAACGACGACATGTTTTCACGTTTGCGCACTTACATACGCTCAGTTTCACTTTTTTTTTTACCATTGATGGTTAGCTACTTATATTGTTCCATTTATTAACATTAAATAACATTACTTCAAACAAGCATATTAATTTTTTTACATTAATTTTACTACAGCTACAATCAGGTTCTTATTTTCTTCAGTTTTATATGTAGAACCAATCTGTCACCGGTTTTGTAAGCTTTAACAAAAACAATGCCGGCAGCCGTCTCGTCTCGTCGCGCGTTTTAATATTACACGTATTAGTAATAAATTGTATTGTTAATTTTGCACACACAAACATTAATTCAATAAAAACAAATTCAGAAACATTAATTAAAATATATATGAACAGTAAATAAGTGTTGCTTTCACATTCTTACGTAAAGTAATGACGATACGTTTTCACGCGTGCGCACTCGCGATCTCTGTTTTTCTTTACCATTATCGTTAGCTACTTCTATTGTTCCATGTATTAACATTACTTAAAAGAACCATATTAATTTTTCTACAGCTACAACCGGGGTCTTATTTTCTTCAGTTTTATACGTAGAACCAGTCGGTCACCGTTTTTTGTAATCGACGAAAACGGTGCCGTCTCATTTCCTCGCGTTTTAATATTGAGCGTATTATTAATGAATTGTATTGCTCATTTTGCACACACTAACATTAATTCAATCCAAAAGACTTTCAGTAATAAATAATAACGAATCTTTCGTACATAAGAGAAATAACGCCGTTTACACGATCGTGCACGTCGTCCGAACGTCGGCGGGCCATTCAAACCCGTCGAAATTTGAGTTTCCGCCGTCAAAAGTTTTAAATGTGTCGGCTTTTTTTGTGCGTTCAAATAGAAAACGTCGAATTAAAAACTCGCGAAATTTGAGAAGGTACTGTACGACATTTAACCCTTCAATATGTCTTCAAAGAGACCACGAAGCAGAGAAAGTGGTGCTAGTGCTTCCAAGTGTAAACAGAAGTCACTATCTGTCCAGGAAGAGGGCGAATTTCCACGGTCGGGAAATTTCCGGCGTCCGGCACCGGTCGGGTCCCGTGGTTGCCGGACCGGAGAGGTACAACCTGTACTTGTATTTCAGTACACTTGTACAGTAATCCTATAAAAGTGGGCATTTATGTAAATGTTTGTGCGTAAAGTCGCGTCCCATTGGCGTCGGCGGTACGCGACACTTCCAAAATATGGCCCAGATTCACGTTTTTCATCCCATACCCAATTTTGAATGTGTGTTTATTTCGTGGTTCTTTAAAGTACAGTACAGTATATTAATAACTTTAAGTTTCGTTTTCAAAACATAATGTCATTGTTTATTAATTATGATACTCTATAAATGCTGTGGTACTCTAAATACTTTTTTCTACTTATATGAATCAGTTGAGTTGAGTAAACTTTTATTTGCATAGTTTTGAAGAAGACTACAGGACATAGTTTAAATTTTTACATATCAACAGTGCAGTACTTTATCTTAAGTAATATTTTCAGGCACTTTCTCCAACACTGCCTACAGTGGACCTGATGTGAACTAGAATGAAGTTGGCTGGACATAAAGTTTACTGGACCTCAAATAGTCTGTGGTATTGTATTTAATATTGTTGTGGTACTTTGAATGTTAGGAAAGTTGTACAGGCATTCCCCAGTTTATAAGAGTACTGTGTCTTATAAAAACCTATGGTAAATCGAATCACATTAGACTCACATTATAAAAGCCAAGATACTTTTCTACAACGAAAACAGTTCCCCCCAAATTATGTACGGTCCCCCAAAAAGTATCGATTGAATTTTCTAGCGGTAAAATTTGAAACTCTAGATGAAATACTTTGCTGTGATCCCCAGTGCATCAGCATAAGTTGGTACAGGTACATCCGGTCACTATATGAGCAATAGCCGTAGACGGCGGGTAGCGAGGGAGTCGTCCTCGTGTGACATACGACCGTACGGTATATGCTTTACTATAACAAGAAATTCATTGAGCTATATTAATGTATGTATCGTGCCGGTTAGAAGCGAGGCCCCGACCGAGGATTACAAAAATATCGGAATATACATTAAACGGAAGAGTTTTGGAACGTCACGAGCTAGACCGAGACGGACCTCGGGGCATACGTTTCGCCACCGCGTCGTAGTGACGGTTTTATTCGTACCGAGATGCACAATGTAGTCGTCGACGACACGTCTGATTTTTGAGGAGGGACGGAGCAAATAGTAGTTGATATTAGAGTGAACAGGTACAGCAATATACAATATATTGGTCTAAATGGGATCTGCCAAATATTATCGATACGTAAATGGCGTCGGTTTAACGTCAAAATAAGATTTTAATCGGCGCGTCGCCCGTCGTTTAGCGGCGGGTAACCCATCGCGATGCCCGAGGGTTCGCTCGCCCCATTGTGCCGAGTTATTCGAGCGTTGCGCGTACCCTCGTCGCGAAGGCTAATAATAGCGCCTCTCTCCCCGTTGTGTCTTTCCGATAATTCCTCGGTTCATTTGACGTACGATCCCGGTAATGACCGGCTCGGCGTCCGTTTACGACACGCAATCCAAATTCGCGCTACGTGCGATGCGAATCCTCGGAGGATTTGCATCTTTCAAAAACACGTACAGTCGTGCGCCGGTTAACATCCGATAGCATATACAGTCGGCCCTTAACATTCGCGGGGGTTAGGTAACAGAGATACCCGTGAATGTTAAAATTCCGTGTACTATTGCTACCCCCTAAACTCGGGTTTCATGCCCTTATTTATCGTATATATTCGTGTAGTTTGAGTTTTAAGACCAATATTTGGCGTAATTAGTCGACGCCAAACGTAGTATAAAAGCCGCGAAGTTGAAAATATTTGTCAGTGTCGGCCGGAACGATGCACCAACATACTACCGCTGTGACGTGTTGCCGTGTTGCCGCGTACAACCGCGGTATTGCATTTGAGCGTAAAACAAAAGAGCCCACGGTTAAAGCTAATTTATAGATACCGACATAAATGTTTGTTCCGCCATATTGAAATAACAATTTTCTGAAGCGACAAATTCCTGAACAAAGATAGTGTTCACATTACTTATTGTAACATATATCATTAAATATATTTGTTTGGTTCGTGACTGGTTTTTCAGGGGGTCAGAAAGTTTTGCTGGAATGACGTACATATTATAGTGGGAAGTGGGATAAAATCACGAGGAAAGACTTTCGCTTTCTTTCGTTGTTCAAAATATTTTACCGTAATCGCTTTTCGAATGTTTTTCAGTTAAAAAACTGTTGTATTACAATAATATTCTATCCTAATTCACTTGTGATGCAACAGTTTTTTAACTGAAAACCATTCGAAAAGCGATTACGGTAAAATATTTTGAACAACGAAAGAAAGCGAAAGTGTTTCGTCATGATTTTATCCCACTTCCCACTATAATATGTACGTCATTCCAGCAAAAATATTACATTTCCATATTTATTTCCGCGAATATATTCATTCAGTCACGGTTAAGGTAAAATATACTTGTGATGTAATATTTTAATGAAAATCCAGTATCGTAGTTTTTTCTTGTTTCAAATTTAATTAACAAAGATTGATGCTTGAAATGTAATGAACAAAAATTTATGTCCAGTATCTACGAGTTAACTTTAATGAATGAATACTTTGTTTTACATCGTCCTGTGCTACCATACCATGGATTTGGCTACTTTGGGCTCGCAAGAGATCTGCCCTGGCAACTGTACCGACACTCACAGCTGGTGGTGTGTTGGTGCATCGTTTCCATTGTTTTCTGGTAGTTACTGGTAAATATTTTTCAACCTAACGAAACTATTACCCGTTAAGAGGTCGACCCCCAATTTTTGCCAAATAATTTTGTCTTAAAAACTCGAACTACACACAGGTATATACGGTAAATAAGGACATGGGGGGGCCAGGGATTTTTTTTTGGGGGGGGGTAGCAATAGTACACGGATTTTTAACATTCACGGGTATCTCTGTTACCTAACCCCCGCGAATGTTAAGGGCCGACTGTACTTCAATTACTTCAATGTACAGAATATTCCTCTGGCGGGGCAATCCGCGTATTTGCGAATCCGTGAATGCTAAACCCGCGTATGTGAAAGGCCGACCGTACGTCCGTGCCCCCCCTCGAAAAAACACTTCCGTGATGCCTGCTGGACCACCACTCCAAGACCCCCCTGATGGAGACACGACGATCCTTCCCGTACTGGCTAGATGTTATGTGTTAAAGGAATATCATTCCTTAGGCTTTAGTAAGCATTTTCCTCCAGGTGTAATGTTAACCTACATCTATTGAGGATAAAATCTTTCACCTACAAATTGACAATAACACATTTGCTGTAATCGGACATATCTAGTTGCCTCAACAATTGCAACCCTAGTTGCAATTTGAAATTCTGTGTCATTACTGAGGAATAACGAAGTCTCTGGTGCACTGCACTCTAAGATTAAGAGAAAATGGACTCGGGCATCCCGAAGGGAGAGAAAACGGACTTCCACGACGGGAGACTCGAGCACTAACACGTGCCACTCATACCGAGAGACTTGACAAGTTTTACCGACCATTAGTGATGTACGTTATCTAGTGAATTTAGTCAATATTGTACAGTATAAGTATACTGCAATTACAGCGGTCCCTCGGTTAACAATGGACCCGAGTGCAAACCCTTACTGTACGTGTACTAAACGATTACGGTACTTAAATTGTTATGTCTATGGCAAATATAGATTGTTTATACAGATATTCAAATACTATCTTACAAGTTATATTCACCCAGGTCGTTTGGGTGGCAAATTATGAGAAGAGCTTAGTCACTCTTAAGTAATGATAAATAAACACTCGGGCCTTCAGCGCCAACTGTCAAATCTTATCTCAAATAAATAAAGACATTGTCACCTCACTTCCCCCCCCTGCTCGCTGGCTACCTCCCTCCTTGTGTTCCCAGACAAAACATTGGTGATAACTTTATGCTTTAAGGTGTTTATTTTATATAATATCTCAGACTAAAGTTAGGGGATTACAATTTGCATAGCTGGAATCCTTGCAAGACAGCCAATAATTTGAATATAAACATTATATATACTGTATTTTGTTGAAGATATAAAAATTGTAGTACATTTTATAATATAAAGTTTTTCAACTGTATTTTTGGGTAGATTTATATCAATTTCTTCATTTATTTTCATCCATTTACATGCAGACACCACAATAAAAGAAACGTGAAAGAAATAAACGACCTCGGTGCAAAGCCGGAGCATTGTTGTACTAATTTGATTACGGTACAAAAATTGTTATGTCCGGTGCAAATTACAGCATGTTTATATTCAAATTAATCAGTATGTTACAAGAATCCCAGCAATGTTAATTATATTGTACCAGGTCATTTCACTGGCATTTTAAAATGAGAGAAGCTTAGTAGGACTGTTAAATAAATTCACAGAGACCTTCGGCTCAAACTGTCAAACATCTCCTCTTAACTCTCTCCCCCATCTGTTGAGCCAGGGTTTTAGGCTTACAGTTTTTATCTTACATAATATTTCAGACTAAAGTTAGGAGATTATAATTTGCATTGCTGGAATCCTTGCAAGACAGCCAATAATTTGAATGTTAACGTCATATATTTTGCTCGAGAGATAAAAATTGTTGTACGTTAGTGTACAGTACTGTAGTACATTTTATAATATAAAGTTTTTGAACTGTATTTTTGGGTAGATTTACATCAATTTCTTCATTTATTTTCATCCATTTACATGCACACAGCATACTAAAAGAAATAATTGACCTTAGTGCAAAGCTGGAGTTTTGTTGTACTAATTTGATTTGGGTACTAAAATTGTTATGTCTAGTGGAAATTATAGCATGTTTATATACAAATTAATCAGTATGTTACAAGAATCCCAAGAATGTTAATTATATTCACCCGGGTCATTTCCCGGCCGGGAAAAAATGCGCCACAGACCCGGGCGCCAACCGTCGGTGTCGCCGGGCTTTATCTTAAGTAATATCACAGACAAAAGTTAGAATTTAATTTGCATTGCTAAAATCGTTACAAGACGGCTAATAATTTTAACATAAACGTTGTATATTTTGCACAAGAGATAAAAATTTGTAGCCCTTTGTAATAAAATTAGTTACAACTAAAATTTGTATGTGAACTATAGCATGTTTATATTCAAAGTAATCACAATTTTATAAGAATTCCAGCAATGTTAATTATATTCTTCCAAGTCAGTTTAGTGATATTTCATAAGAGAAAACCTGAAAGTCACTGTTAAGGACAGATAAATAAATAAGCTCTAGACCTTGGCATCAACTGTCAAACCGATAACCCTCCTCCCCATCTTGCCGCGAATCCGATCACGAGTAAACGGGCCATTTCGCGTCTCGTAATTTTAGCCGCGTCGATTTACGAGCGTCCGTTTTAACGCGATACTACAAAAACGATGTTTTGTAGGAGATGGGCCGAGGTGCATTTGGGTATATTGGGTCTTTTTAGTATTTTGTGTTAGTCTCGAGTACCAAAGTAAATTGTTCCATTGAAACCACTTTAATTGAGTCCAAATTTGGTTTAAAGCTATTAGCTCTCTAGGAATGCGCCTCGCGTCACCGACGCGTACGCGGGACCGGTAACAATTTTACGTAAACGCGTCGACGACGTAATATTCGACAATGCCGTCGGGTCGTCGACGTGCCGTTTCTTCGTTTAGTAAATAGTCGTGGCGATTTTTGTCGCGCGCGTGTCCGTCGACGGGCACGCCGAGGGCGGTCCGTCCGCGGATGCGGGCCCGCTCGAGATTCGGCCCGTATTGCGCAGTCGTACGGTCCGTCGTCGTTTGCGAGAAGTACTCGTTTACGTAGTCTCGCGTGCCGTATATTGCATTTTCTAGCAATAGACTAGTTACGATCGTAGATTAGTTCCATCACGTAGGGTATCGTCTCGCCGTCGGCCCGGGACACACCTCCGGCCACTCGACACTCTGCTTACCGGTACACGACACAAATTAAAAAATGATCAACACGATATTTTACGAGGGCATTATGATTGATTTCTAATACCCTATGCAATGGTTGTATAGATGTAGTGCAGTATAATTATTAAATGCAGGCAGCATTCACATCACAAACTTAACCCACAGAAGAAGTCGCCTCGGGCAACGGCAGCAGTCGGGAGAAGGACACGAAGAACGACCGTAGATCGTCGCTCCGGAGACGGGTCGGCGAGTGCCGCTCTCCGACGCGAGACGATCGTCGAGAATAACCTACGTGTTTTTCTATTTTTATGGATGCTATTTTAAGGATAACTAAAGCTCAGTCAACGGTTATTTTAGCTTAAGGTCATATTATACGTGTATTTGTAATGTACAGTATTTCATTGAGTAAGAATGCTAAAACTTGCCCGGCGGTCGACCCCCAAAACAACTGCGGCGACCCGCTCCGGCACTCGAGAAGACGGAAGCTCCGAGTACACGACGTTAAAGATTAACGGATAGTTTGACGACTATACCACCCCTTGTTCCCTCTACCTCCAGCTAAATGTATCCCTCCCTCCACTTACCACTCTTCCTTTCCTCATCTATTATCTTTCCCTTCCACCCCTCTATCCCACCATCTGTCCCCCCTCCCTTTCTTCACGTACCATTCTTCCTTTCCTTATCTATTATCCTTCCCTTCCACCCCTCTATCCCTTCCCTCCACATACCACCTTTCTCTCCTAGCACCTGTCGTTCCTTTTTTGTGTTTTATTTAATAAGTTTTATAGTATATGATGGTCACCTTATTAATAATGTACCATTTTGTGTGATTACAATTACACTACACACACTTAGTCGAAGTGACCAGTTATTAGTGTTGATATTAATGGGATAAATATTAGATAAGTTTATTGGAGTTTGCTATAAAATATGTGACTATAATTATAAATTGTGAGTGTGAAGAAGGGTTTATAAGTTGTATATATGTCAATTAGAGGAACAAATAATTTGCTAACCCCACCCTAGTCCTTCAATGGAAAACGCATCGAAATGCGCAGCGGCGAATGCATTCGGCGGGAGAATAATGCGGCGACACGCGTAGAATACTCGTACGCCACTCTCGGGCACGTACGTTTCCATTTACTAAAGTTAGGTGGGTTTGTTTGGGTGGCGTGGGACCCAGAGGGCATCGGCAGGCGGTCGCGTCCGGCGGTTGCCGTGCGAGAAATTGGGAGGACGGGCTTTCACGTTGCAGAAACTAAGGAACGGCATCTTCCGGCGGAACCACAGCCCGCGATTAAAGGAACGCTCGGGTTTGACGCCCACGGACCGAGCGCGCGGCTCCTCCGCCGTAACAAGAGTAGTCGATTGAAGTCCCCTCTTTTGCCTGGGTGGATGTGTCTGTGCTAACCGTTTTAGGCAAGTGAATGTTTGGTACAGCAGATTTGGGGATTCATTGTAGGGTAGACTTGCCATACAGTGCAGTGTTTTAATTGGTATTATATTGCGGCGATCGGCGAGCACGGAGACCGAAGCCTCACTCGACCGTGTCTCGGGAGGCGTGGGGTTTGGTCCGAGGCCACTCGCAGTCATCGTCGAGGGTATAGTCCGGAACGCCGTTCGACGTGACGTCTCGTCGAAATTCCGGAGCGGTCTTCTCGTCGCGGGGCGCGCCGGAGGTCGACGCTACGACGTTCCCGGAGGGGTCGTCGTCGTCGTCGTCGGGTATTTGACGTGCATCCGGAGGAGAACGAGGGCACGCGTCGAACCGTCGAAAGTGCGCAAGAAATGAGATCGCGTAAATAACGGCAGATTAATTTCGTCGACACTCGTACGTATAAAAGTGCAAAGTAAATAAATAATACGTATTTTTTTTATGGGAATTAGCCCACCCGGGCACGGGTCACCGACCCACATCGGGGCGAAAATGTAATAATAATAATAATTGTTGAAGTTACAGTGTTCATTTTTGGTGGATATCAACGAAATATGATGCGAGAGGCTCAGACGACGACACAAACGACGACGCTCTCTCCGGTATATTTTCGGGACCGTCCGTAAAAACGAAACCAAAACACGCGTGCGCATTCAAAGTGGCGCATTATTGCACAAGTAAAATAAAACATATTGCCATAAATATGGGGTAACCTAGTTTATATGTAACAATAATACTGAAGAACCTTAAAGAAATACAAAATGGAAAAAAAAATCAAAAGTGAGGAACAATAGATTTATGTTGTGTTGTCAATAGTAAGAGAAACAATCGAGACAGAGAGTCAGACGAGCGACCCGGGACTCGGTCACAATTTTAGGGATGCCACGTAGCAGGAAGATCTACCACGGACGACACATTACGCTTCCAATATTGTCTGCGGAGGTGGTATCTCCCCGTTTGGTGGCTGCCTAAGTATGTAAGATTTTCCAATGGAAAGTGTATGTTTGGCAAATGTATCCAGGTCTTTAGAGAATGTACTCAGATATTTGGGTTAGGTGTCAAGGGTTCATGTATAATTTGCATGCCTAATTGACTATGTATATTTTTTAACCTTAATTTTTCATTTGCAGTCACCCGACGGGAGTCAGAAACGTCATTTTTGTGCGGACCGGCGACTCGACGGACCCCGGCCGAGGACGCCGCTCGAACCGCGGGTGAGAATGTCGGACGACGCCGTATTGTAATGTTTATATCGCAGTGTACGGTATTTACTTAATGGTTCTCTGAAGAATAGGAATGCGTATGTGGCGTGCCTCGGCGTCTCCGTAGGAATTGCGTAGAGTAAGGGGAAGGTTTTTAAGGGAGACGAGAATTTATTAAGCGGCGCGTCGTCGACGAAATATCGAAGGAAGTTTTGACCGGTCACCGAGAGGAAATAAGACGGGAATTTACGAGTAAAAGAGTAGAACGTAAAGATAACGAGGGAGAAATGAAAATGCGACCGACGACGAGACTCGGGTGCCATCGAAAATGCGTAGAGGGACGGACATTACAAGTGTTATAACGAGAGTACTTAATTTAGCATAGAGATATAGAATTGAAGGTGTCATATCTGGTCTAAAAGTGTTGGATACAATATGAAAAGTATTATTAAAAAATGGGAGTTTAACCCATAAGCCAAGGGTTAGGGTGCTGCTGGCACTTCCCCCTCCCTTCCTATTGGGATAAATCGAGAAACAAGATGAATTCTCCCCACCCCCTCCTCCACAAAGGGGAGACCAGATGGACGTCACCTGGGTGTAAGGGTTAAGAATGTAGTAGCTTGTAATGGAGGATGAGGTATATGTATTTATGTCCTATGTTTTATACTGTATTGCAAGTAGGCGTTATTGTATGCACATTGCGGGTCATAATAGGAACGCGGCACGCCGGAGGCGGGTACACGGGACGATCCCTCGGAACAGAAGCCGAAAGTTCGTGGCGTGGGTATATCACTTCCCTTAAAAGTGTAATTAGGGATCCTCCTCAGACACATTGCACCATTTGAACGCAGACGTAAGATTATCCTCATCGCCGTACACGTCCCGAGGAGACGAGGCGTATCGAGTTTACGCGGATGCATACGAGACGTTTCCTTTCGAGTACGGGTAGTTCTGCTATAATGCGATAGTTGTGTTCTTGTAAAACATCGTGTTATAGAAATTCGTGTAATAGAAATGACAGGGCTTATGGAGAAAATAGGGTTAGGTGCAGATTACTCCAAATCGACAAAAATTTCGTAGTACAGTCTAAATAAATGTTACATTGATATCTAATATTGAAATCATACAGTAAATGTTACACTTGACCTTGAAAAAATCTGAATATAACTTGATGGGGGAGAAGATTGATGTTGAGGAGTCATGAAAGATCAAGCTTTTCTTCGAGTGTTATAGCCTTTCTTTTATGATCACCAGAGTGCTTCCCAGAGATATTCTTCTTTTCCATAGTCACAAAATTGGAGAAACAGTAATCACCGAGGACACTTAAAAATTTCACACGTGTTTCAAACAAAGTGTGGAGTAAACAGAGCGCGCGGGTCTAAAACGCTATGTATTTTGTTTTTCTCTTATTTAAAATTTACATATACTGTAGAGGTATACTGTATACATAAATATTACATAAATTATTTGTGCAATTCTTCACAAACAAAACACATAAATCAATTGAACATGCGATGTCGAACGTGAACTGTAAACACTGCATAACCCCGCGCCAAGCCACAATGTACAGTACACTTTAAGTGCATACTTATTTTGTTTTTCTCTTTTATTTAAATTTTTACAATTTACATATTCATATTATGCTACAGCGCCCACAAAACACGAGAAACGTTCGAGTCCCCCAGTAGAGATGTGCGTTCTCTATCCACTCGAGGATGTGTCGGTCGTGCGTTTTCTTTTTGTGTACTCGCTCGGGGACTCGAGTATTTCTGTTTATAACACAGGATGATAAGGGAATTTGAATTTATTTGTTGATTTATTTATTTATAATATACTGTAATATATTAAATATGCTGCAAGTATTTTCTTTAATTTATATACTTTTTTCTGGAAAAAGGGAGGCTACCATTATACCCGGTAATGTACATTTATGGCGATCGTTAAGGACCAAACTCCGAATCCGTGACGTGACTTCCGTTCATCATTTATGTCCTAAATTTACCAATGTGGGTAGTTTCAAGAATTAACGCAGTCATTTACCGAATATTCTTTGCCCAAAAATAAATTTCAAATGAATTATTTATAGGAGATAAGTATTATGATCAGTAAATATACCGATATGCATTACCGACCACAAGGACGGCTAAAAATAGGCACAGACGGTCACAGTCGAGGTCACTTTCCCTTTGTTGTCACTGTAGGACCTTGTGAGTGGTTTACTGTATACATAAATATTACATAAATTATTTCTGCAATTCTTCACAAACAAAACACATAAATCAATTGAATATGCGAAGTCGAACGTGAACCGTAAACACTGTGTGATGTAAAGAGAGCGCCGGTGTGAAACGCTATGTAATTTGATTGTCTCTTTTATTTAAAATTTTACAATTGACTTATAATATATAGGTATACTGTATACATAAATATTACATACATTATTTCTGCAATTGTTCACAAACAAAACACACAACTCAATTGAACACGCGATGTCGAACGTGAACCGAAGCCATAACAATCGTTCGAGTGGAATCGCGTCGGAGGAAACGAGTTCGCGTTTTACAAATATCGTTCCTCAATTCATAAATCGCGTCGTCAAAACACGCGTTATAGCAGAACTCGCCGTATAGTTTTTGGTTCACCGCCAACACGTTTATCCTCGTACCGGATCTCCGTCGTCGCGGAAGTTACGTTCGCTAGACGTTCACAGACGTAAATGGTACGACCTCGAGAGCACGACGTACATTCGGTCGTAGAGTACACCGGTCCGGATCGAGTGGACTTTCCCAATCGTCTTATAGATTTCTCGAGTTCTTGGGAATGGTACGAATATGTACAATTAATATTATGTTATGTATAGGTATATTGTATGTTTTTTGATAATCGTTAAGTATGGGAGGTGGCGACGTGCACACCGTACCGACGGGTGGAGGAGCGTCGAGTTTGATTTTGTATTAGGCGACGGGGTCGCGGGTATTTACGGAGATACGGCAGAGCGCGACGTCGGCGCCCGCGTACGGCACGAGCGGGAGGAGTAATTTGTGCGGGACGTAATTGTGGGGTAGTCGAGTATGCCTGTGTGTTTTAGTTGGCAATAGTGTGTAGATATGTTTGTGTATAGGTATACTGTAGAAAGAATGAAGTTAGATGAAGTTTGTTTGGGAATTAGTATAATTTGTAATAGTAGATAATTGTCGATATATTTTGACAGTAATTTGTCCGTTTCAGTTGCGGAGGAGCGCGCCGATACGAGTCGGAGACGGCTCGTACAGTCGGCGCACGAGAGCGGTCCGGACGAAGACATTCGGGAACCGAGGACGAAGACGGTCGTCCACTGCGGACGAAGACACCGGTCGACGCGCGAGGAAGATGCTCCGGAACACGGGAAGAACGCCACACTCCCGAGTGCGGGAAGACACTCGTCAACGCAGAAGGAGACACGCATCAATGTCGGGCCGGCGTGATTGTTTTAAAGACGATTTAACGTGTAAAATGAATGTACGTGTTGTTTGTAACGATTGTTATAATGTTTGTAGTATGGTATTGTTTTTAGAGACCGACTCTGCGAAGGCGGAGGAAGTCGATACATGTCGAGAATGAATTTATTGAAGATGTTGCCTGTGATCACTAGGTGTTTGCACTAATTTGGGGAGATGATTACGATCGTAGAACGTCACGGAATGCGGCGCGCATCCGTAAATAACGGCAGCATAAATACGAGAGAACGCGGTGGCGGCGGCGGGGAAGTGCGCCTTTTGAAAGTAAAAGAACGGGGGAGATCGGACCGACATAGATGGTGTTGTTGTGGTAACCGATAAGAATGGAGAAATGATGACTATTTGGTGGGTTTTTTAGGACAGAGAGAGTAGTTATATATTAGTGAAGATATAAAGTAAAAGGTGATAAGGATGGTGGTGGGGGGGACAACGAATGATATATTTTGTAGGGTATTAAAGGAATTGACTCGTCAGTGCCGAGTCGGCGTAATTGTGAGAAACGGATGCGACGGGGATTTTAAAGAAGTTGCGGGGAAATTGGCGGAAGCGACGATCGCAATAACCTTTCGACGTGGGACGGACGACGACGAATTTAGTAAATGGCGGTTTAGGAAAGGGTCGTACGTAAAGCGGCGGGTGCGGATACGGACGACGGTCGATCGGGGTCCGTTTACGGGACGGGAAAGAGGACCGACGGGAATTCGGACGGAGACGAGGCGGCGCACAAACGAAAGTATACCCGCGAGATGCGTAAAGAATGATTTGGAAGTAGATTTAACTAAGAGTCGCGTGTTTGAAATGGCGGGAAGGTTCGACAGGTGTATTAGTTTTACGTAATTGTGGCAGTGCGTTTGAGAGCGGGCAGTCGTGGAGTGCGCGTGGGTACCTATTTTGAGACCGCGACATCTACCGGTAAGGAAATACGTAATGCAGCAGTAATATATTTTTGGCCTGAATTTATACTCGTTCACCCGTACTCCGTGTTGCTCCACTCGTGTTAAGGTGTTTATTGTGAAGGCGTTTGTATAATAATAAAATTTGTTGGACGAGTAGGGGAAGGAATACGAGCACAATGTTTAATTTGTAAGCCCTCCCTTTTTTGTCTTTTCCCTCTGCCTCCCCGTCCTCCTCCTCCTTTTTTGACGTGTTTGTCGTGCGGCTTCTTTTCCCTCCGTTTCATTGCAACTCCCTTCGTTTTTCTCCCCCCTACCTGCTTCTGTCCGTCCTCTTCTTCTTCCTGTTTCCTTCTTTTACTCCTCCTCTTCGCCATATGTCTTCCTTGTTTATTCTTTGGCTTGTTCTGCGTCTGTTCCTTCTCCTCCTCTGTTTGATTGTGATTCCCTTGTTGTTTCTCACCCTCCCATTGCTCTTGATCCTGTTGTTACTCCCATTTGTTGGTTGTTTTTGTGTTCGTGTATATGTTTGTTGTTACCAATTGAATTTGTGGTTGTATTACTGCTGCTGTGTGTATGTTGGATTGTATTTATTTGTTGTTATATATATGTTGTGAGTGTGAATTAGATATATTGTGTTGATATTTGACTAAATGTTGTTGTTAAGAAGAGGAGGAGTTCTATTTAGATTTGGAAAGTAACTGTCATCGAGGACGAGAATGCACGTACCGTCTGTAGTTTGAATACGCGGTCGCGTCGGGTTTGGGCAGTTATATATCGGGAAATAGTTGAAGAGTGTAAGTTAATGTTGTGGACTTGTGAAATTGTTGATTGTGGAATAGTTATTGGTTTTAATTTGAAGGGTGTCAATTGCGCACCGGGAATATTTTGTCGGGAGTTTGGCGTCGTCGGAATCGACCGGAACGGCCGGAGTCGCGGAGTTATTTTTTGTCGTCGTAGATTCGTTCGCGGAGTCGTAAAAAATGTGGCGTCGTCGACGAAAGTCAATCGTCCGCGGATCGGTCGTCTTCGAATATTTGTAGACTTGTATATGTTTGTTTGTAATTGATTGAAGTTATTTGTAGTTTGAAAAATGTTTTGACTTGTTGTTGTTGTTTGATTATAGTATAGTCATTTGTGCAGTTTGAAATTATTTTGGTTTGTGGATTTGGAAAATGTGTTGCATGTATGTGGACTTTGAATAAGTGAGATATTTTGTATATTTTTCATGTTTGTGGACCGAAATGTCGTACCTCTAGTCGGGCAACCTCGGGACCGGACCATGGAAATTGACCCTTTTCCTGGATAGATAGTGACTTGTGCTTATGCTTGGAAGCACTAGCACCACTTTCTCTGCATCACGGCCTCTTTGAAGACATATTGAAGGGTTAAATGTCGTATAGTAGCTCGTGAAATTTGGAGAGTTTTTAATTCTTAACGTATTTTATTGGAACAGAGCCAAAAATAAATAAATAGAAATTTTGACGGCGGAAAGTGGAATTTCGACGGGTTTGAACGGCCCGCCAACGTGCAGACGACTGGCACAATCGCGTAAAGAGCGTCATTTCTCTCGTGTAGAAAAGATTCATTATTGAATGTCTTTTTTATTGAATTACTGTTTGTGTGCAAAATGAGCAATACAATTCATTAATAATACGTAGAATATTAAAACACACGGCATTGTTTTCGTCGATTACAAAACCGGTGACTGACTGGTTCTACATATAAAAGAGAAGAAAATAAGACCTTGGCTGTAGCTGTAGTCAAATGACTATGGTTGTTTTAAGTAATGTTAATAAATGGAACAATAGAAGTAGCTAACGATAACGGTAAAGAAAAAAAAGAGATCGCGCGCGTAAGTGGGCATGCGAAAAGATATCGTCATTACTTTACGTAAGAATACGAAAGCAACACTTATTTACTGTTCATATCTATTTTAATTGATGTTTGTGAATTTGTTTTTATTGAATTAATGTTTGTGTGTGCAAAATTAGCAATAGAATTTATTATTAATACGTGGAATATCAGAGGAGACGAGACGAGACGGCTGCCGGCATCGTTTACGTTAAAGCTCACAAAACCAGTGACCGATTGGTTGTACATATAAAACTGAAGAAAATAAGACCCTGATTTTAGCTGCAGTAAAATTAATGTAAAAAAATTAATATGCTCGTTTGAAGTACGTGTAATGTTATTTAATGTTAAAAAATGGAACAATATAAGTAGTTAACCATAAAAAAAGTGAGTGCGCATACGTAAGTGCGCACATGTGAAAAGATATCGTCATTACTCTACATAAGAATATGAAAGCAACACTTATTTATTGCTGAAGGGTTAAATGTTGTACTCTATAGACAAAGAGAGAGAGAGAGCAGCTGAAGTGCTGGATGTAAACAAACCTTAATTTCCTGGGGGTTTTTTTTTTAGGGGATTAGCCCACCTGGGCATAAGTCACTGACCCACAATTTAATACTCCTGCTATAATAATGATAATTTCCAAGAAAAAAAAAAAAAACTGCCTATGTACCTGTTGGAGAAAGTAAAATTGTTTTGGACCACGGGAGTTTGCGGAGCACAGAATGCCGGACTAGAGAGTTACAACCTGTAGTTGTTTGTGGACTTGAAATTGTTAACCTTTGTGGACTTTGAATAATTGATAATGTTTGTCGACTTTGAATTTGTTTTGCCTTTTGTGGACCGGGAAATTTACGCGTCGGGTCCGAGGACCGGCAATAATTATCGACGCACGCGAACTCGGAATAACGTATTACGCCGGTGGAATCGGACTAATTTTTTATCCCGTGTGGACTTTGAATAATTGATGATGTTTGTGGTCTTTGAATAATTGTGTATTTTGTGTGGAATTGGAATAATTGTTATCCTTTGAAAATGTCTCATTGTTTGTGTATTTTGAATAATTGTCAATTTGTGTGGACTTTGAATATTTTGTGGACTTTGAATAATTTATTGTTTGTGTACTTGGAATAATGATCAATTTCTGTGGACTTTGAATATTTTGTGGACTTTGAATAATTTATTGTTTGTGTACTTGGAATAATGTTCAATTTATGTGGACTGAATAATTAATGATGTTTGTGGATATTTGAATATTTTGTTATGTTGTGTGGACTTTGAATATTTTGTGGAGTTTGAATAATTTATTGTTTGTGTACTTGGAATAATGTTCAATTTATGTGGACTTTGAATAATGTATAATGATTGTGGACTTTGAATATCCTTTGTGGACTTAGTATTAATTTATCCTGTGTGGACTTTGAATAATTAATATGTATGTGGACTTGTTATTATTTTATTGTTTGTGGACTTTGAATAATTGTCAATGTAGACTGAGTATTTTTGTCATGTTGTGTGGACTTAGAATAATTTGTATCCTCTGTGGACTTGTAATAATTGTTAATGTATGTGGACTTGGAATAATTTATGATGTTTGTGGAGTTAGTATTATTTTAGCCTTTGTGTATGTGTAGTTGGTATGTTTTTTCTGTTTGTGGACTTTGAATATTTTGTGGATATAGAAAATGTTTTATCGTCTGTGGCTCCGTATTAATGTATTACGTCCGTGGACCGGGAATAATTTTGTATCGTGTGTGGACTTGTAAAAATTTTCATTGTTTGTGGACTTAGATAAATGTTCATATGTTGTGGAGTTAGTATTATTTGAACTTGTGTGGACTTGTAATAATTTTCAATGTTTGTGGACTTAGAATAACTTTTAATGTATGTGGACTTTGAATAATTGTCATCGATTGTGGACTTATTATATTTTTGATGTTTGTGGACTTTGTATTATTTTATTGTTTGTTTTTGTATTTGGAAATATTGTCATTGTTTGTGGAATTAGAAAAATTTTCATATGTTGTGGAGTTAGTATTATTTTATCCTGTGGACTTGTAATAATTTTCAATGTGTGTGGACTTGGTATATTTTTCATATTTTGTGCTTTGAAATATTGTCTTTGTTTGTGGACTTAGTTTTTTTTCCTCTTGTGGAATTGGACTAATTTATGTTTGTGGACTTGGAAAATTTTTTTATCCTTTATGGACTTAGAAAATTTTCATGTTGTGTGGACTTAGAAAATTTTCATGGTGTGTGGACTTAGTATTTTTTTGTTGTTGTGTGGACTTCGTTTTTTTTCCTGTGTTGTGGACTTAGAAAATTTTTCGTTGTTTGTGGACATAGAATAATTTTCATGTTGTGGACTTAGAAAAATTTTCATCCTTTGTGGACTTAGAAAATTTTTCATGGTGTGTGGACTTAGTATTTTTTGTGGTGTTGACTAAGTATGTTTTTGGTTGTGTGGACTTAGTAAATTTTTCGTTCTTTGTGGACATAGAAAAATTTTCATGTTGTGGACTTAGAAAAATTTCATGGTGTGTGGACTTAGTTGTTTTTGCTGTGTTGTGGACTTAGAATATTTTCATGTGTGTACTTGGGTTTTTTTTTCATGTCATGTGGACTTAACAAATTTTTCGTTCTTTGTGGACTTAGAAATTTTTCATGTTGTGTGGACTTGGTATTTTTTTTTTTGTGGACTTAGTATTTTTTCATGTGTTGTGGACTTAGTATTTTTTTGTTGTGTGGACTTAGTATTTTTTTGTTGTTGTGTGGACTTAGTTTTTTTTCCTGTGTTGTGGACTTAGAAAATTTTCCATCCTTTATGGACTTATAATAATTTCATGTGTGGAATTAGTATTTTTTGTTGTTGTGTGGACTTAGAAAATTTTTCGTT